ATAAATAAAATAGACTTTTATCTCGAGCAGTTGACTTAAACCTCTCTGAGTGTTAATCTCTTCACTTGTAAAAGAAGGTAGATCAGAATGAAGTAAAATCCCATCCAAGTAAGATAGTACTTGGTATATTAATTAGCAAATGTTAGTGCCAACGCTGCACTTCTTCCCCAGGAATATTCTATAATAGTATTGGAGGAGGAAAAAAAATACTGAAATTCCAGCTAGAAGATTGAATTTCTCCCAGTGCTTTTATTTTATAACATGTATTTTCTTGAGTCAGTCATTAAAATAGGGCTCTGAAGATTAAATGGAGTAATAAGTCCTGCAGACCTAGACTTTATTCTTTACTCTCTGATGTATTTATGTCTTGATTTACTTTTCAGTGGTAAACACTGTTTTCCGTGCAAGGAGAGAGCTGTGTCACAGGAGCATTAATGGGTAGGGTACTTTATTTTGTTTTGTTTTTTTGACACAGGGTCTTGATTTGTAGTTCAGTCCGGCCCTGAACTCACTATGTAGCTCAGACTGGCCTTTAACGCCTGGCGGTCTTCCTGCCTCAGCCAGCCCCAGTATTGGAATTAATTACAGGGTGGCCACCACATAGGGCTGGATAGGGTACTTTTGTTTGGAGGAGCAGAGTGTAGGAAACAATGTGATGTTCTTCTGGGAGACACACACACACCCACCCACACACCCACACACCCACACACCCACACCCACCCACTGGTTTTAAGCAGGAGTAAGGAGAGGCCAGGTGGTAAAATCATCAGTTTAAAAAGATGGCAAAAAGGGAGGGATTTCATTGGACCAGGTTCCTTGTTTCTGTTCTTCATTAGTTCTGTTCTAATCAAGATCTGTCATGTAATTCTGCTGCCATTATCAGCATTATGAAAAGTGGTCTACATTTTGTAATCTGCATTCCCCACAACCTACAAAAATCTTAATCTTAGCAGTGTGTCATTTTTCTTACACTGGCCTTGAAATAGTTTCATCAGTTGACTCTGTCCTTTCACATAGGAAGTAGTTTTACTTTCTCTTCAGCATGTTCTTTAGCCCTAGTTGAGAAACTTTGTCATCTTCCATTCTTTGTGTATTAACCTTTGTGTCAGCTGTTTAGGATGCCTAGAGCCGAACACAACCTTTCTCACTTTCCTTGGAATCCATCCTTATGGCTTAGCTTTAAATTTAATTAAAAAATTAATTAAAAATTTCCTGATCACTCATCCTCAAGTAGTCTTAGTTGTTTTATGACAGTAAATGTATGTACTTCTTGATAAGTTATTGCTTAGTTTTACTTTAAGTATTCTTCCTGGTAACTGAATAGTATTAAACATGCAGCTATAGCAGTGTAAATTCTTAGATTTAAAATATGACATATACACTTCTTACTGTATGTTAATAATGGAGTATTTTAGATGTTTTTATACAGAAATGGTGAGACAGAGTAAAGAGGAGAGACACATATACCTGCCGAGACAATCATACATTTGGCAATATAACTTGATGGTTAGCCATTCTACAAAAAACAAATTTTCCTCTTTTCTCATACTAAACAATTAACATAGAAGAGTTCTGTGACCCACAGTACATGGGTTTTTTCCTCTTACACCAAGCGAAGAAGCAGCTCTCTCTAATAGACACTAATTGTCCTCTAGTTCGCTTCAGTTCTGAAACAGGATCCCACATACTGAAAGCTCAGTTCCCAAGACACCATTTCCCCATCCTCACCATACAGTCACAAGCACCAGGTGGTATTACCTTTGTTTCTGGTAGATCATCTATAAACTGGGGCTTCTACCTGAGTTCCCAGCACCTGAACTACCCACTTGAGTTCCATTCATTTCCTACAGCAACTCAGAATTTGAGAAAACCCTTACTTACGTTTGCTGGTTTACTGTACAGTATATTGTAAAGGGTACGATAAACATCCACTGAAGAGATGAATAGGGCAAGGGATAGGAAGAAGGGACTCTGGTGCTCTCTCTGGGCACACCGTGCTGTCAAGAACTTCCACGCTTGCCTTTGCTCAAACCTTGTCCTTTTGTATTTTTATGGAGGCTTCATTTATTACCTATACATCATTAGGTCATTGGCCATTGGTAATCAAATTTTAATCTTCAGACCCTCTCCCTTCCCAGAGATTGTAGGGTGGGGCTGAAATTTCCCAAAGTAATCCCATCAGGTCTTTCAAATGACCAGTGCCCTTGGAGAAGCTACCTGAAGTTGCCAGCCATCTGTCAACTCATTAGCAAACAAAAAAACACCACTGAAGGGTACAAGGATTTTAGGAGTTCTATGCCAGAAACAGGCATTGAAAACCAAATATGTATCTCATGATATTATTGCCAACTATCTGTTCAATTATATGCATTTTATTAACAAATACAAGCTTTAGAAACTGGAGCTATTTTTGATTGAATGACTTCCAAGCAATTAAATGATTCAGTAATGTTAAAACCAGGAGTAGTGGTCTTTGAAGGAAATTGTGCTGTATCTCTAAACAGTTTTCCTTTAGTACAGGGGTGTGGGTTATTTCCAGCTCTTACTGAACTTTGAATAGTTGTCATTCAGAAGTGGATCTGGCACCTGTTCTGTATTCTTATGAAGGTTCACATTAAAAATGAGTGTTACACAGTGCTACCAAAAGCGTCTTTGTTTTTCTTAGTCATGGCAGCAGTTGACACAGTGCACTAGTGGCTTAACATACCAACACTTAAGTCGTTATTTTTTGTTTTTGTTTTTAAGTCATTGAAATTATGAGACTATCATTCAAATGGAAGCATTATAGTTCTTCGGAACCATTATGATCTCAAAAGAAAAGGAGAGTGATACAGATACTGGCTGAGGTGTTTTGTGCATCGAAGTGTTCCAAGCTGTGACTTACATTAACATGTTCTTGAAGTACCATGGCGTGGATTAAAAGGTATGCTTTAGAACTCTCCCAGTGACCCTCAGTTCACGAGTAGAATGAACACTCATGAGTTTCTATTTAATTATTACATATTTTAAGATATTTTAAATTTTAGATTGCATATGTGATTATGGGTTTATGGTGTTATTTTGTTAAAAATTATGTTTTATGTTTGAATTTTTTTCCTTTTTGAGATAAAGTTTATGAAAGTCATGGATAAATATTTTCTTTAGGTTTTACTAGTAATGGGCTATAATTTCTTTCACCAAATACTGTAGAGATTATTCATATCTCAGTCTGTAATTGTCTTTCTGGTTCACATCATGGACTAGTTCTCTCAGCAGTGCTTCAGTTCCTGGTAGCCTGAACTAGTACCATTGGATAAATTCTTCATGAAGCTGGAGTATTCCTGTGACCAACAAAGCCGTTCTTCTTTGGGCCATTTGTAGTACAGTTTTTTTTCTTTTACAGAGAATTTTCACTTAGATGAAAATGAATGATTTAAAAAATAATATTGTGGCTATTGTCTATTTTTTTTTGTATGCTTATATTCATGTTATATGTAGTCTTACTGTTACTAGGAGTAGTAGTAGTAGGCTTTGTAATAAATTTAGCCACCAGAAATTCTTTAGCTACTTATATGTGTAAAATTTATCTGAGTGATGTAGTCAGAACTTTTTAAATTAAAAATCTTAGAAACCTAATTTTTTACTATGGTTGCTACTAAAAGTTTTTTGTTTCAAGAATGATGGAAGTGGACTTAGTGCTGAATTCATAAATGTTATATAAAGCTCCAAATTGTTTACCTTTTAGGTAATAAGGGAAATATGTTGGGAAAGTAGACATTTAAGTAGTGGGTAGAAAAATTGAACAGAAATATGGTGGTGCAGCCATGATTTTATCAGGCTACCTTATGTTAAGATCCTTTCATCATGTCAGCAGTTAAATTCTAATGGAATTTAATTTTTAAAGCTAAGACAAAACTGTTTTATATTGCATTCTAGTCCATAAGATAGTCTAATCATGGTCCAAAGTAGAATCATCTGCTTCTTAGCCAGAACAATCATTGATTTCAACTCAGAAGTTTTTGTCTGATAGCACATAGTAGTATCTGCCTGCCAAAAAGGCATTTCAAACGTAATGGTTTAAAGATAGTATTCAGTGCATTGTTTACAGAATATATTTCTGTATGGTACTTGTTTCTTCAAATTAAAATTCTTTCTGGGTTAGTACTTGGGCCTCTGTTTGGTTTGAACTCCAGAGAGGATACACAAGTACGGTTTGCAAACGCTAATTATTATTACTGTCAATCATCATCATCATCATTATTCTAGAGCTGGCAGTTGAACCCAGGGCTTTTGTACTGAGCTACATCTCCAGCCCTTTAAAAAATTTTTATTTTGACACAGGGTCTTGTTAAATCTCTAACATGCTCAGGCTGGGCTCAAACCTGTGATTCTCTTGCCTCAGTGTGATGGCTTACAGGCACATATGGTAGGTAGTACATGCCTGGCTTCCAACTACTGTTCGTTCTTTTTTTTTTTTTCTTGAACTCAGGACCTTGAATTTGGGAGGCAGGTGTGGTGCCACTGAGTTAAATCCCTGGCCCCAAACACTGTTCTTATTGGAAGCTTACAGGCTTGTAGTTAAAAACTTAAGGATCAGATAGCCTATGTTTTATATCTAATGCTCGCTTTATTATCTAGACCGTGAGAATGACCTGGAAAAATATCAATTTTATATATGGAAATATAATCAGTATATAATTCAGTTTGTATACTTGACAATACTAAGTAATGTACACATGGTTAGTCTAGAATTGAACATGTGGGAAGCAGTGGTGATTGACAGTGATGTGATGAATATTAAATGCAAAATTAGGATTTACGTTTTTTAGAGGAGGTTATTATTTTGTTTTTTCCTGTACTGACTTTGGGCTTTTGCCTGTGGTCTTCACAGAATAAAGTAAGCCATTACAAAACATTATTTGATGTTTTTAATTCTTTGACCCTCTTCTCATCAGTGGAAGAAAGAAGGTGGCCACTAGAAATTTGTAATTTATTTAGGGTCTTCCTACTCTTCAAGAATGATTTTTGTATTCTCTAAAGCTGTGCTTTTCAAATTGTAGGCTTTGGGCCATTTTATTTATTCAGTCATTTTTTTTTCTTTGTTTTGCAGTATGATGGACTGAAGTTAGGGCCTTGAACTGAGCGTATTCTCACCCTTAAATTTTTTTTTTTTTTTTTTTTTTTTGAGACAGTGTCTTGCTGAGACACTCAGTTGTTCAAACTGGGCTCAAATTTGTAATCGTGCTGTCTCATCTTCCCAGAGTGCTGGGATGACAGGTGTGCACCACCACATCTGGCTGTTGGCCTATTTAATACAGGGTCGCGAAGAAATAGATTCAGTGAATTATGGCATGTCTTAGAATAGAAAATATTGGTGTACTGAATATAGAAAATTATTGCTTTTTAAAATATTTGTGTTTCAGTTTTTAGAAAAAAAATATATGTACATTTATGTTAAAATTGATTGGGCTAATCTTTTAGTTTCACTAAATATATGTCTCCTATAGTCACAGTTTCTCCGAACTGGTAACCGCCCCTGTCCAAAGGTTGATTTATTCAACAAAAATACAGAATTATATTGTCATGAATATAAAGTTTAAAACTTTCAAATGCTGTCAAATGCCACAAATATCAGAAAATGCAGAAATAAAATTAGTATTTCGATAATAAGCCAGGAATTCCTTTAAGAGCTTTTTCTCCGGTATTATCTATCTTTTATTTTGCTCTTTATGTATATTTGGGTTTCTCATGTAAGAGAAATCATGCTATTTAAGCTTGTGTGTTCAATTTATTTCACTTAATAGGATGACATCCATTTCGTACATCCATTTTTCTACAGATGATACCAGTTTATCCTTTATGGCAGAGTAGTACTCAGTTGTGTATAAATGCCACAGCTTCTTTATCTACTTGTCTGTTGATGGACATATAGGCTTCTTCCAAATTTAGTTATTGTGAATTGTGCTGCTGTGAATATGGCCATACATATATCATTATAGTATGATGTCTTTAACTCTTTCGGGAAGAGAGCTAAAAGGGGAATTGCTAGATTAAAAGGAATTTCTAGTTTTAGTTTTTTTGAGCAGTCTGAACTGATTTCCATACTGGTTTTCTTTTCTTTTTGTTTTGGTTTGGTGGGAGGTTGAACTTGGATCCTTGTGCTTGGGAGGCAGGCATTGGAACCACTGAGCTAAATCCCCAGCCCTCCACACTGGTTTTACCAGTTTACACTCCCACCAACAATGTAGTGGGTTCCTTTTATCTCCTCTACAGCCTCACTAGCATTTGTTAATAATTTCTTGATGATAGCCATTCTTTCTGAAGATGGAATTTCATTGTTCTTTTAATTTGCATTTCTCTAATGGCCAGTGATGTTGGACATTTTTTTCTTATTAGCCATTTGCACTTTTTCTAAGAAAATTCTGTTCATTTTGGTTGCCCATTTTTTTATTGGATCTTTGGTCTGAAGGGGTTAATTTTTTTCAATTTTTATATATTCTAGATATTTGTCCTTTGTTCAATGAATAGTGGGCAGAAAATTTTTTTCCCATTTGGTAGGTGCTTTCTTCACTCTCGGTGATTTCCTTTTCTTTAAAAAGGTGAAGAACCATTTTAATTTGATATGATCTCATTTGTTGATTCTTGGTATTCTTGGGCAAGTTTGTTCTATTCAGAGAGTCCTTGGCTTACACCTTTCTCCCAAGAGATTTACCTATTTTATCTTCCAGCTAATTGCTCTTGCTAATGTTTCAAAAATTGTATTGAACAGGAGTGATGATAGTGCACATCTCTATCTTTTTCTTGATTTTTGAGGAAAAGTTTTTCAGCTTTTTTCCATTTAATACCGTGTTGGGCATTGGTTTGTTATAAACAGCTTTTGTCAGATTGAGAGAAAATTGTTCGATACCTATTTTCTTTGGGATTTTAAAAAATCATGAATGGATGTTGAATTTTTAAAGGCTTTTTCTGCATCTTTTGAGATGATCATGTGGCTTTTGTCCTTGCTTCTGTCTATGTGATGTATTACATTATTGATTTGCATATGTTTAACCATCCCTGCATCTTGGAGGTGAATCCTACTTGGTCAATGATACATGATCTTTTTGATGATTTGTTGCATTCTTTTTGCCAGTATCTTGTTGAAGATTTTTGCGTCTATGTTCACGGAAGAAATTCTCTTTTGGTTGGGTCCTTTTCTGGTTTTGGAACTGGGGTGTTGCTAGCAATCAGGAATGATTTGGGGAACACTCCTTCCCTTTCAATTTCATTAAAGAGTTTAAGGAGAATTGGTACTAGATCTTCTCTAAAGTTTTGTGGAATTTGACAGTGAATCCTGGCCTTTCCTAGTTGTAGCTCTTTTTATTAAGTGAGAGTAATTTTATGTTGTTTTGTTTTACTAAAAATAAGTGAGCAGGATGAGTTCCAGTTTGCGTCTTCTAATGGAATACCATATCCTCTGCATCACTTTTAAGGGTCCCCTTCGATCTGTTTTGTTTGAAATAAAGGTTATTACAGATCATAGAAGAGGAGAGCCTAACAAGTAGTAGCTTTTGAGTTGTGTTAACTGAGGCTGTTTTATTAAGTTGAGTGATCTATTTTGCTTGTTGGCATGCAATTTGGTGTTTATCAACACATAAACTGCCAGTGATAGCACATTCTAGAGTTGAGTTAATAAGCTCCTCCCGTTACATGGAATGAAAAAGAAGAGACTAGGAAATGTAATCCAGTATAGATTGGTTTGGCTTTGTTTGGCTTGGTTTTGTTGAGAAAGGTTCTCATTATGTAGGCTGGCCTTAACCTCATTATGTAGTCTAGGCTGCCCCTGAACTCCTAGCAGTCCTCCCGCGTCACCCTCCTGAGTGCTGGGATTGTATCATGCACCACCATGCATGGCTCCATATAATTTTTTAAAAACTTTAGTTTTAAGGTATGTGTAGGTCTTGC